TCTCGCTCAGAAAATTTGTTTAAAAAAGTTAATTTAAAATGTTAATTTCAGGAAGTCAGAAATGTTTGCATTAGACTATATATGTACATCCTGTATGTTCCAAAATATCCTATAAACACACACAAGCAATAAGAGAAGTAGAAAAAGAGTGTAAGAACAGTTCATTAGAGAACTGTCTAAGATCACATCATGGATAGTAGTAAGGTTTAAATATAGCAACATATCACTTTGCTGTATTTGTTGGAGCTGCTGTGTGATATTTAATAGCTTCACCTTGGAAATGTATAGGCTACATGATGCTGTATTAATCTCTGTAGAAATATCCCTATTGATAGTAAAACTTAAAGTGTTTGTAAACTCAAAAAGGGGAGCTTATCAAAAGTGGAACAGAGAAAATCTGGAGCAGTTGTTAATGGCAACCAATCAGCTTATATATTCAGTTTGTACTGTTAAGCCTTGAAGATGAAAGATAGAAGTTGATTGGTTGCCATTAACAACTGCTCCAGAATCTGCTCCAGTTTTGAAAAATCCCCCCCCCCCCCTAAAATTATTTTATATTTTTCAACATTATGCCTTGCTGTATACAGTTGTCTTAAGCAAATAGTTTGGGTTTTTTTGTGAAGCTATTGCAAAGTCTCTTATAGTACTGTTGCATACTGACAGCATTGGTGCTAACTGCAAATCAGCGGCTATACATTGCTGGCTAATCAGAGCAACTCTGAAGTCTTTTTGGTAAATGCTGGAAAATTCTGCAGCAACCCAGTAATTCATCTTCTTTAAATTGGCTTGGTGGTTTCAACTTTCAAAAAATCAGCATATTATTTATTTTTGGGAGGGCACCCATAACATCTTCCCATAATATATACATCTTAGCTGAAATATATTTGGCACTAAAGGTTATACTGCATGTTAGCTGGAGCAGTTTATTAACTTTATTTGTTGGCTGGATTTAACTGGAAAAACTGAAATTACTGGTATGAAAAAGAAAACTGAACACAAACCAACTTTTCCCTTTGCACCCTTCATGCCCCAAACAACATAGCCATTTCTAGCCTCTCTGCAGCCAAATTCTGTTGACAACCTTGAGTGGTTGCTCCTCTTTTCCTTCGATAAACTGAGGCCTGCCCACATGAACTTTTGTGCCTGCCCTGCTCCTTGTAGAGGTTGCCATGGTAGTACACTTAGCTGCCATGGCAACCAAAAAAACATATTAACTGGAGGCCATGACTGCAATGCAAAGTTCTCCCCTGACCTTTTGCCGTGCATGCTATGTAGTTTTAGGCTATTCGTACAGGCAACAAGGCAGTACAGAACTACGTTTCTCAGGTTCATACATTTTTGTTGAGGGCTCATAGAAGAGTAAGAGATCCAGGCCACTCAACTGGCATTGACAGGCCAAAAATCACACCAACACACACACACACAACATGAATGAACCCTTAATGGAAACATCACCTGGTAGGTATAGTTCTTTCATTAAGTGGCAGTTTGCCTTTAGAATAATATTTTCTCATGTAGTTGAGCCTGGAATACAGGAACTGGAAGGGCATAGAAGTAAGTTATTAAATATAAAAGGTAACGCATTAAAACAGTAATAAACTAGATGCTGGTTAAATTTTATGCTCACGTAAATCATAGACCCTGGAAATATGAACGCTATCACCAGATGGAAGATTTTTTTATCAAAAGCAAAAATGAAATGAAATGTTGCCGAAAAGTTTTAGCAAAGGTTAACGTTTTCTTTAAGTGTGAAAATGTATAAATCGTAAATAGAAATAGAAGCAAAAATGTTCCCTTCGTTTATACACTGAAGATACCGGGGTTTTTTTTTTTTATCATACTGAGAAAACACCTGTGTATAATCTCTTCCAAATATCTGACCATAGGACTTTCTGTTGAATTCACAGTCACACATATTTTTAAAGAAAAATAAAAGTAATATTACAAAAAATTATGAAATCTTTAATATGTAAAGAAGAACTCCAGCTGTTTAAAAAATATAACATCCTAAAATGAGAATTTAGAATATTTTTTGTGAAGTAATAGAAATATTTACCTGCCTCTTTTTAGCATAGATGGAGACTCATTCCCTTTGTTCCCTGTACCCTAGGTCAGTTTAATTAAAAAAACAAATTGTATCGAGTGTATGTGATGTTTTACAATTCCACAAGAATGTCAGGCTACTATCCATATATGTAAATAGAGAACCCACTGGGTACTATCCATGTATGTATATAGAGAACCCACTGGGTACTATCCTTGTATGTAAATAGAAAACCCACTACAAGGTGCATGATGCAATATTTTTCTCAGTATTGGCAAAACTACTTTTTGCACTACTTTCTTCTAATGTAGTGTATGGTAATGCGGTAACGCACATTGCAGTGCATGACAGCCAGAGGGTGCCATTCTAATAAATGGCAATGCTTCTAGAGCACAAAAACACACACTAGATGTGTGTTAATCACACGGAATTGTATGATTTTCGTTACGGTCAGATGTAAATGGACCCTTAGGCCCCATTCACATGTAGCGACATACCTTTGCGGCGGCCAGGATAGCGCGACTTTCGGTGGCGACATTCCAGCGACGGTAGCGCGACCTTCTCCGTCGGGCTCCATAGAAAAAAGCAAAATCCGCCGAAAAAAGGGTCCTGTAGAAGCGACTTGTGACCGCGACGAGCGACATGGAGCTAAGACAGCTCCATTGACTATCATTAGCCGGCGACTTCTCGCGATATCGCGGCGGAAATCGCGCGATAAGTCGCTACATGTGAATGGGGCCTAAAGGTTTGTTTTTACCATTATCGTTAGGGGGTTAAAGCTATGTTAACCGTGTTGCTACAATGGATTAATGAAAAGTAATAGAAGGAATTATATACTTTTTAATATGCTCTTAAGAGTTTTTTTTTTCTTTTTAAACATTGAGCTCAATTTACTTTTTTTTCCACTCATCTCACTGTCATAAGTAGTTTCTTACAACTGCAAATGACAAAAAAATTATAACTGTGCTTTCTAATTATATATGTGCATTTAACTATGTTAAATGCTGTTTTACCATTATACTAAATGTTAATGTTTTGTGATATATAACATATAAGATTTGATGCTACCCTAAACGGACATGTGAAGTTTAAATGAGTGATTTTTTTTTTATTTCTATCTTGCAGAAAACCTACAGAGACTTTAGGCTACAGGGGGTTCTTGACGGCACTCTAAATAATAAGACATATGAGACAGTTCACAACCGTTTAACTATGGAAGAGGCTACGGTAGCTGTTTCTGATAGGGGAGGACTCCAGGGGATTTCTATGAAGGACAGTGATGATGAAGAAGAATGACATCTCAATATTTATATGTTTGCAATATGCTCCATGTATTTTTATCTGTTCTGTATAGAAATATTTCACTTTACTTAAAGTCCCAATAGATTGCTTATTTAAATCCATTTAAAATACATGGGCCAAAGAGTTATAGAAATGGTCAAATGAAACACTGTATGAATCATTTTTGTGCAGGTTTAATATAAGAATTATTTTCTTTTTGTATGGATTTCTCAGAACATCTGCCTTTTAAAACAATGTAATATTATTACTGTTTACCTATATTTGTATGGAATTTCTCAACAATGCATTGGCCTACATTTTTTTTTTTGTAACGTTCATAATAAAAGTGGATAATTTCCATATCCTATTGGCCACTGCCTTCAGAAGTACCTTGTTCTTATGTCCAGCCTGTGTATGACATTCCATTGGTGTTTCTGCTTGTGTTGTAAAGACTAGCAGAGACGTATAAAAATATGCACATTTTAAGCCTACAGTTTCATGGACCTGTAGGAATTTATTTTTTGTCTCTATACATTGTTTAATAAAGTTTGATAATATGTTTACAGACAGATGTGGCCTCCCTTCCTGTTATGTTCACATCTGGTATTGTTTAATAGAAATCTGTATTGTCTAAGATATGGAAGGCATTTGATGTTTAATAGTTAAGACAGTCCTTTAGGGCTAGTAACAGGTCAGATTATAAGTTATGTCTCCTTGTCACTGTGATTTATAACAGTCATCTTGTAGCTGTCTGATTGAAGAACTCTGTAGCTGATGATTCCAACTGCAACCACTGTAAATAGAAATTGACAAACGAATACTAAGATTAGAATACTTAAAATACAACTTACAGTTATACAAAGGAACTGTTAATATTGTTCCAGAATATGTTTTAAACATTACAATTATCTGTTTAAAAAAAACTTGGGATACCTGCTACTAAATCTACTTTTGTTGTGAAGATTTGTGCAGCCTGTTACACTATTTTATCAGCCATTCTAGGCTAAAGGAGGTTTACCAGTGACTGCCAATGGTGTAATTTTATAGCATTATTATAAGGATGTTCTCTGTATAAGATTCTACCCCAGTTATCCTTTACCTCAACTGTCTAGAGTTTTGATATTCTTCAGTAGTGTTTCCTTTTTATTTCAATTCCTACTATATTAACTAATTAATTATTAGTTTAGGCTTACTGGCATTTTAACTGTTTTACAGTGCATGTTAGATTTCAGGTAACAGAAACCTTAAACTATTGTTACCTACAGTATATACACTTTAAAAAAATATTTGCCACACTTCCAAGTTAATTAGTGCTTGCAGGTTTTTCATGTAAAATGTATCCACACTTGCTGTTGAGTTTACAATTACATGAGTGGAGCAAGAGGTGGAAACATTATACCAGTGGACACTCAATGACCTCTCTATTCAGTACCCTTGTTCATTAACACAAATTGCAAAACAGCAATTGTTTTGACATTAACTCAATCCATTAAGCATGTACGGTGAGGAAAATCATTATTTGATCCCCTGCAGATTTTGTAAGTTTGCCCACTTACAAGGAAATGAAAGGTCTATAATTTTTATCATGGGTGTAGTTTAAATGATAGAGACAGAATAACAACCAAAAATCCTGAAAAAACACATGATGCAACTGCAACTCAATTTATAACATTTGTATCGTGTTTTTTTCAGGATTTGTTGGTTGATTTTCTGTCTCTATCATTTAAAATACACCTATGATAGAAATTATAGACCTTTCATTTCTTTGTAAGTGGGCAAACTTACAAAATATGCAGGGGATCAATTTACTATTTTCCTCACTGTATACATGGTCAAGAGGGTCAGTGGTTTTATTAAAACCTTAGGCTTTAGGAAGGAGCAGAATTTAAGTCATTTTGAACATGAATGGTTGTTTGTTCAAGGCATGGTGGGAGAACGGTCTAAACAGTCTCTTATTATCATCATAACTTCAGAAGGTGAGGTTGGAATTTATCTGTGTGGTCAGTCCCGGGGGTGTGATTCTAAATATACCCCAGCTTAAGACGGTCAGATGATGGAAGTACAGTAAAGTCATAAATTAAAGACAAATAGCAGGAATGAGCCAAAGCTGGGTTTTAGAACACACTCTCTGAATGCATAACATGTCAAAGTCTACTACTGGTGAATTAAAGGGAGGTTAAAGCCCAACTACAGGCAAAATAAACTTACTGGTTTTAAATAAAACCAGCTGCAGTCTTCTTCCTTCCACAAATATTCTTGTTTACATGCAGGTGTAAGTGCTGCAGGTCTCCATAGACACATCGCTGCAGTCATATCACTGCCTGCCCCACTTCCTGGCCATTCACATAATACACAGCATAGGCTTCATCTTATAAATGGACAGAATAAGGATAGGGGGGGGCAGAGATGGCAACACAGTGCTGAAGTCTATTGAGACCTGCAATGCTTATATCCGATTTATGGAAGCTGGATTTAGGGAAACAGAGTGTGTAACTCACTTAAAACCAGTAAGTTAATTGAGCCCATAATTGACCTTTAAAGAGACTGAAAGGAAAGGGGGGCAAACTGTTACACCTAGAGGTGCCTGCACATACTTGCAGCTGCCTCGCAAACCGTACTGTCATGGCTGAATGTTGGGCAATTCTGATATGCAAAGCTCTGTTATGTATACTCTAGATGGTGTAGAAGCGTGCTGCTAAGCCTCACCTTCACATAATCCTATTGGCCCATCACTATGATAGGCAGTCTAACTAGCCAATGGGAATGTGACTCAAATGCTACCACATTCCCGGAAGTACTGGGTATTTCCTTCAGCTTCTGACACTGAACGCAGCAGCTGGTAGCAGTAGTAACAAACAACCTTTTGATATGTCCTGCATAGGAAAAGCACAAATTTGCTTCAAAGAAGAACTCCGGGAAAATGTTTTAATAACCCTTGCAGTAGAGCTACCACTGCACTTCAAGGGTTAAGTGCTCGTTTTGGTTTAGAGCTGAAAATTAAAAAAAGTTATACTCACCCAATCCTCCAAGCCAGCTTGAGCTTAGAATGGTCCCTGGAGCGTCTCTCACCCTCCGCTGCAGCAGTCTAAGGTCCCTGAGTCATCACATTCTATACACAGTGTAGACGTGAGGATGCCGTGAGACATACCATTGCAGTGGAGGAGAAAACAGGCTGATGAGAGCACTGTCACAGCTGACCAGATCGGAGGATAGGGTTAGTATAACTTTGTAATTTTCAAAACTGTATTTTTATACAAAGTGGAGATGGGCTTTAACACCTAGCTGTAACCCTAACCTTTATAATTAGACATTAAAGCCTAATACTATATGAATCACCAACGCTTAGTCACCCTAACTTTACACATAACGCCTAACACTAAACTCCAAAAGATGCTACTTAACATATTAAGAACTGAGAGTGTTGATGGCAAATCCAAGTATAGTTGAGCCTTTAAAGAGTTATATCTGTAAAAAAATAAGTAAAGGCAACTGGACTTGCTGTATTTTTCTTGAAGACGTTTCACTGGTCATCCAGCCAGCTTTCTCAATTCAGAAGTAATTAGTCAAGTAAATTAGCAAGTCCAGTTGCCTTTACTTAATTCTTACAGATATACCATGTCCTGGATGAATGAGAACCTTCACAGACTTTAAAGCATTGATTAAAACTTTACTTTGAACCACAGTGCTATTCTTCTCTTAGCTTCCCTAATAAACACTAAGGGGTCTATTCACTAAGCTGCCGTAGGCAGCCAAGTGAATAACCGACCCGAAGTGAAGTTCGGCTATTCACTTCAGGCTGACCCGAAGTGCAGAAGGAGTTCGGCTCAGCCGATCCAACATCTGGATCGGCTAAGCCGAACCTCCGGCAGGCTACTCACTGCTGTTCGGCCTCTTTTCATAGATGCCGAACAGCAGTGAGCGAATAGCCGAATGCCGCCGAGCGGCATTCGGCTCGGCTGTTCTGCTCGGTACCTCTGTGGTACTGAGGAGAATAGAAAAACAGTTAATAAAGTAGAAAAAATAAAATAGAAAATGATTGGTAGGGTGGTTCTATTGGCAGGGCGGTTCTGCTGTCAGAATAAAAAAAAAAAACACCATAGGAATGCACAGCTAGTTTCCTATTGGCTATTTCACTTGCAATAGCCAATAGTAAACTAGCTATTGCACCCACCCTCTACTGCTGTCAATCACTAGAGGGGACCTGATGGAGAACTTCAGGTCCCCTCTGCTGGTTGACAGCAGCAGTGGGCGGGTGCAAAAGCTAGTTTGCTATTGGCTATTGCAAATTGAAATAGCCAATAGGAATGTAGCTATGCATTTCTATGGTGTTTTTTTATTATAATTTTTTTATTCTGACGGCAGCCAACGGCTCCGATGTCAGAAGAAGAAAAAAAAGACAACAGAGCAGGGAAAGGTTTCCTCTGCTCGATCGACCAGAGTAAAACTTTCTGGGAGAAAGTGTTTCTCTCCTGGGCGGCCGGGAGCCGCTATCTAATAGCGGGAGACTCCCAGGGCGTCTGGGAGAGTTGGGCTATCTGGAGATCAGCGTCCCAGGTTACCATGTAACCCGGGATGCTGATCTGTCTGTGCAAGTGGCCGGAGCCAGCCGTGAGATGATGGCTGGCTCCGCCCAGCAGTCAGTAGCCGGCTGTCGGCCGGCCGTTCAGCCAGCTTCGGCTTTCACCTCGGCTCAGTCGAGCCAAAGCATATGCCTTCAGCTCGACTGAGCCGCTCGGCCGACTTTGGGAGCTGTACAGCAGCCCTTCGGTTCTACTGAACCGAAGGGGTCCTGGGGCCGAAGCTAGCCGAAGGATCAGCCGAAGCTACGCCTAGATCCTTCGGCAGCTTAGTGAATAGACCTCTAAATATTTGGAAAGATTGTGATAAAATATACCACAATGAATGTCAACCCGAAACAGATGTCATAGTGGAAATGGCATCAGTATTGGTATACAGCAGAGAGATCTCTCTGAAACTCCTAGTCTGCCTACTCTGTGGCAATGGTCTTATTTGCTTTTGATCAGCCCTTACAAGGGTAAATCAGGCATACAAAACATCTTTGTCTCAGCAGCAGGAGGCCCCATCTGCAACAGGTTTGGCTGTGTGGTGTAGATATAGACTGCTTAAGGAATTTCAGAAGTACCTCATAAAATGAATGAGCAAGCTAAATAATATACTGAAAAAAATGAAATATATGCAAATTATTTTTCACTTTTAACTGAAAAGTGTACTTAGCCTCAAAGGGGAAAACACATCTTCGATGGCCTCTGTTGTGAGTGTCAACAATGGTATTTACCATAGACTGAACCTTACTTCACTACCAACATTCCATGGTAGCCAAGCTGTTATATATAAAGTAAATGTACATGCTGTCATATGCAATGGCACAGGAGGAGGAGGAGAGGTCAAAACTCAACATCTTCCAAGAAAATACTGAAATTCAAATTCTGTGTTTTACTAGCCCTTTCCATATCCTTCACCCTTATTTTTTTTACTTTCTATATTTTTTATTTTTTCCAGCACAATCCCACATTTTCCTCCA